AAACAACTCCCAGGAAGCTCTTCCAAACACACAGAGCCCTGCCCAGCGGCCTCCTGCATGCCCCCTCACCAAAATTCTGATTCTTCAGGGCCACAGAGTTGTCTGTCTGCCTCTGTCTATACATAAAATACATACATATTAATACATGTACACATATACGTATTTGTGTCTGTCTCCATATGTGTATAATCACTCTGATGTGTGCTCAGTGTTCCTCCTCCCAGATGTGAGGTAGTGGAATAAACAGCATCGTCTGCAGTGGAGTCTCACCAAAAATATTTAAGCTGATTCTAAACTAGCCTTTAGATTTACCCTCGTTTCTGTAAAGCAGGGCATAGAGAACACTTTAAAGGACATCAGGAGGAAATGGACAAATCCAGATTGTTGGGTGTTCTGCAAGGCAGCTGGCCTGGTATCTTCAAAAACGTTTCTCCGTGTCAAGGGAAAAAATGCAAACAGTTCAGGGTGAAAGGATTGTTTTCTACTAAAGAAACAAGATACAAAACCAAATGCAATGCATGAGCCTTGACTGAGCCATGCTTTTAAGAAAAAACTATAGAAAATGGGGCAGGATAGGGACATTTGAGTGTGGACCAGGCTTTGGATAGAAGGAAGGTATTGTCAGGTTTTGTGGGTGTGTTAATTTTATTGTGGTCATGTAGGAAAACGGCTTTATTTTTAGGAGGTGTTTGCCTTAGGATTTAGGGCTGGAGTGTCAAGACATCTGTGACTTGTTTTCACATGATTCAGAAGAAAACGTCTGAGTGTTAGCAAGAGGCTGGATACGAGCGTCGAAGCTGAATGTTCAGGGACTGTTCTTTTCAACTTGTATCTTTGCCAGTTTTCGCAGTAAAGTAGAAAAAGATGGGCACCTGGGTGGCTCAGGTCATGATCCCAGGGTCCTGGGATCGAGCCCTGCATTGGGCTCTCTTCTTAGCAGGGAGCCTGCTTCCTCCTCTCTCTCTCTCTCTGCCTGCCTCTCTGCCTACTTGTGACCTCTCCCTCTCCCTCTGTCAAATAAATAAATAAAATCTTTTTTTTTTTTTTTTTTTAGATTTTTTTATTTATTTGACAGAGAGAGATCACAAGTGGGCAGAGAGGCAGGCAGAAGGAGAGAGAGGAGAAAGCAGACTCCCTGCTGAGCTGAGAGCCTGATGTGGGGCTTGATCCCAGGACCCTGGGATCATGACCTGAGCTGAAGGCAGAGGCTTAACCCACTGAGCCACCCAGGTGCCCCAATAAATAAAATCTTAAAAAAAAAGAAAGAAAAAGAGAACCAGGTGAAGAAGCAGGCTTGTGTCCTTGGAAACTCTGGTACGGCTTCATTCCCGGGCTTCGCGGCTACAGTGCTGGCGGCACACTTGGCCTAGCTTGTGACACGCCGGAGTCAGGTCCTCAGTGCACCTCTGCTCCTCGGCGTATGCTGCGGTCATCTCCCGGCCAGCTGGCCCCGGGTGGTTGTGCTCCCCCTGCACCTCCTTCCCTGCTCGCTGACATCAGGAAGCTGCCAAAGATAGGCCCCTGTGATGGAAGCGACAAACCCAGCTGAGTTCAGCCTACTACCTGCACCCTTGTTTAAACAGGAGGGCTTGCAGGAGACCAGCCGTTTGTCAGTCGCCCCTTGCTCTGCATTCTGATGGTGGACCGTTGTGAGAATCCTAGCCTCGTTTTCTGAAAGTCAGAGGACTGTCCAGATGATCCACAGCTGTCAGGGATATGACAGTAAAGTCAGCTGTGCTGGAGTGGAAGTGTATGTCGTGGCATCTGCATGGAATGTCAGCGAGGGCCTGGTCTTATCGAGTGAGTTGTGAAGAGGCAGGGAGTCGGGGGGGATGGTGGTGGAGGTGTGTTGAGCTCTGTGCTGGGATCCCCACGGTTCACAACATCTGTCATGAGGATCTGTGTCCCCTTTGATATGGATGTTGTGCCAGCAGGATTCTGTCCTTGCACATGTGACATGGCCAAACGGGGGCACTCTACAGAGCACAGGCACCTGGCGAAGCCCATTGATGGATTTCTTGTCCTGTCGATCTGAGGACTTTTCTCGGATCCCCAGGAAAGCCGGTCAGTCACCTTGTGTAGTATGGCCATTCCACTTGTAGTAATTATTAGCAAACTATTAGGCTGGAAAGAGCAAAGCATGTTGTCTCCCTCTTCCAAACAGGTGAATAAAAGCCTCCTTCCAGCTACGGATGGATGTGAGAACTTGGTGCAGTAGAGGGCAGATCGTTTTAGCACAGACGGACAGAACTATGTTTTGTGAACTTAAGCACTTGGCTTCCTAAATAATCCTGCCCTAAATTTGGTGCAGACCATTTTGCTCAGCCTCAATATGCCACCTTCTGTCCTCCTGAAGTTTCACATCCTTTGTCCTCATAAGTGGTGACCTGACTGCAGGCCTGACTCTGAGCCGAGCTTGCTGCCCGGGACAGTGGACACATGACGTGCTCATTAAGCTCCAGGTCACCTGAGAGGTTGTAGCAAAGCCCTGAGGCTCCATACGAGCACAAACACAGAGAAGTTTTATGTTCATGTTGAAAATTGTCCATTAAACAGAAGAGGAGCAGGGATCGAGATTGGCTAGCACATCAGGGAACTGGTTTTCTAATCAATGAAAAGATTTTGTAGAAGCCTCATCTTCTCCTCACAGGCTGGCCTTCCACTGGCCAGTTCCGGGTGGGCGCGAGCCTGGTGGCCAGGCAGGGGGGCACGCCATGTGGGACCTCGCGGGAGTCATCACTGGCTTGTTAATTGTTCTCATTTGGAATGATCGTCTCAGGCTAAACAGTCTTTTCCAAAGCTTTTTTGTACTAGTAACTTTTTTCTCAAAAGGCATTTCTAGTTGGTGGTATTTGGGGTTGGGTGGGGGTGAGATGAGCAAGAGCGAGTAGGTTCTCCTTCTGGCCTAGTGCTAATTTCACAGTTGAGTTTGGCAGCGGGGTAGGTGGTGAGGAAGTAGGAAGTAAGACCAGGACCCACCTGTGAAGCTCACCTGGGAGGCTGACACAAGTGACGTCACCCGTCTCTTAATAGCACCTGCTCAATGTTTGCGTGTAGTGGCCAAGTTTCTGTCACCTGCCCTTGGCTTCCGGCCGTCACACCGTTGTCTGACCCATGTCCTCTGTGTTCTGGGAAAGGCTTCTGAGGGAAAGGAGGTGATAGTTATTGAGTGCTGACCCTGCCAGACACTGAGGTCCTCTGACAGACTCATGATAGTTTCTCGAAGCAACACTGTGAAGCAGGATACCTAACCCTTGTCATGGGGGTAGGTGAGGAAGCTGAGGCGTCCGCTTGGCCAGTGCGTGGTGGAGCTGGGCTTGGAACCCAGACCCAACAGGACCCAAAACTCTTAGAGTGGAACCCACTCCTCCCTTCACCAGTGCTCAGCAGAGCTGCACTCCACACACGCACGTGCACGCATGCACGCACACACACACGCACACACACACTGACAATTATGAAGGGCCTGTGTCCTTAGTGCTAGTTAGGTAATTTCCTAAAACAGCATCTTGGGTAACTATAATGATGTGAAGATTTTTAATGTGCCATGTTTTATGAGATAAATAGTAATCTCTCACTGGCATGTCAACTAGAGTGTTGACGAAGCTTTGACTCTGGGCTTCCTTATTTCCCCACTGCCCTTCTTCTTTAATAACTCCCTGCCCTGCCTCACTGCCAGCACACCAGGGGGCTCTTTGTGGTTCTCATGAGGTTGACATGACCTCAGTTAACAGTGTCTAATCATTCACGACACAGCTTTGTGCCCAGATGTCAGATGTGAACTGTGTGATTCTTCCTGACCTTGAAGAAGGGACAGCAGATGGGACAGCCGAGGAGCACGGTACCCCTGTTTCAGGGCTCAGTCCCCTCTCAAGGAGGTTTGAGCTGTTAGAGCAAAGCCCTCTGGTAATGAAGCCATTTGTCCCTGGGAAGAGAATGAGCCCTTGTGAGACCAGAAACAATGGGCATGTTGAGTTGCAGACCTAGGGTGAAGGGAGGCTCAGGCAGAGGCACATGGGCTGAATTGGGATGGTTCAAGGAGTGCATTCTTCCTAGGCGAGTTTCTGTTGTCAACAAGTCTACTCTGTGGTAATGATGATACTTAGGCAGTGGTCATTAATGCCTCTGTTTTGAATGATTTCCCCAAGTGAGTAAGTCATGAACTCTTCAAGGTTTTCTTATTTTTTCTTCTATGAGTTTTAATTAGTGTAGTTTTTTTTTTGTCCAGAAATCACCCTGTGAGAAATGAATAAAAATAAGTTTGGGGAACAGTGTGTTGTTATTTTTCATGGCAGTGTTTACTTTTATATTCTTACTTACCTGTGAAGCAAACCCTCATTCTTAGGTCTCTGCTACTAATTTGATTCCAGGCAATAAAAGTGGGTGTTGCTGCGCTCTCTCTCTAAGCAAAAGCTTTTGGTGCGCGTTTTTCAAGACTTACTTCATCTAGTACCAAGACAGCGGGCAGAGAGTCCCTGTGAGCTTTATAAAACCAGAGCCCGTCTGCTGCCAGGGTTCATTGCCTGCCAGCCCTCTCTAGATGTATCTGGATCTCCGCGGTGTTGACCTTTTCTAGTAAGAGATGCTGGAGCGGGAGTCCGGTCCCAAGAGTGCGGAAGGGTCCCAAGAGTGCGGAGGCGGAATCTCCAGGGCCAAAGGGTGCGCCTGGGGCGAGTGCAGGACCCCCCCCCCCCCCCGCCGGCGGCAGATAAGGGAACCGCCACACACCGTGTGAGAGCTCGGGAAGGGGGAAGTCGGAACAAAGGCAACCGGGACCGGCGCTGCGAAGGGCTGCCGGCCATCTGCTCCGACACTGGGACCCGCTCCCTCAGCGGGCTTCCCTGGGGCAGGGAGTGGCCGCCCGGGCTGGGGAGGGCGGGGAGCAGCCCTATCCCCCCCCCCCCCCCCACTTGGCTTTTGGGGACCGCGCGCCCCCGGCGGCCGCGCTGCGGGGCGGAGCCTGGCCGCCGCTCACCGCCCTCCTCCCTTCCCTCCCGTAGGTGAGGCCGCGCTCCGAGCCCGGACATGGCAGCATGACGGCCTGGGACCGCGCTGCCAGAGGCCGGCCAGGAGGAGCCCCCGGCTGCGGGAGCGAGCGCCCGGAGCAGCGACTGCTTCCTGAGGCCGCCTGAGCCTCCTTCCCCACCCGCCGGCTGTTACTGTTCACCCCGTGGAGTCCTGACTTCTCCGCCTGCAACTTCAATATGTGTCATGTTATTGTCACCTGTCGCTCCATGCTCTGGACCCTCCTGAGTATCGTGGTGGCTTTCGCAGAGCTCATCGCCTTCATGAGCGCCGACTGGCTCATCGGCAAAGCCAAGAGTCTCAGCGGCGCCGAGCCGGACGAGCAGAGCGGAGGCCGGTCGGAGCCCTACCACCCGACCCTGGGCATCTACGCCCGCTGCATCCGCAACCCCGGCGTGCAGCACGTGCAGCGGGAGACGCTGTGCGGGCCCTACGCCGAGAGCTTCGGCGAGATCGCCAGCGGCTTCTGGCAGGCCACCGCTATCTTCTTGGCCGTGGGCATCTTCATTCTCTGCACTGTGGCCTTGGTGTCCGTCTTCACCATGTGTGTGCAGAGCATCATGAAGAAAAGTATTTTCAACGTGTGCGGGCTGCTGCAAGGGATCGCAGGTAAGCGTGCGGGAGAGGGACCGGGCCTCTGCCCTGTGTGTGTGTGGCGCGCCCCCTGCCCCACGTTCCCTGCCGGTTGGGAAGAGCAGGCTCCTGTCCGGTCAGACTGGGTTTGCTCCCTTTTCCCTGTTGCACTGTCGCCTGTTCTTTCTCTCCCATATTCCTCGTCATTGCTTATTTCCTTGGGTTCGAAGTTATTGGATTTTGTTAGAGTACTCCTACTTTTTTTTTTTCTTTTACCATTAAATTAAAAGCATGCTTTCCCATTAGTGCATCCCGTTGTGGAAATTCGGGTGAGAGAGCCCCCCCCCCACCCCCTGCAGCAGGCACCCTGTGCTAAGAAGGAAGGCATGTGAGTGTGGGGCCTTCAGTGTTGGGCAGTGGGTCCGGCCGGGTGCTCGACCCCATCCCAACCACAGGATGATTTCAGCTTTGGGAGAGGAAGAAGCAGGCTGGGAAGGAATTAATATCAGCTGTTCTGTGTTTAATAGTGTTCTGGTTTAAATTGTCTGTCTCCTGTAGTCTGACAGAATGTTCTGTGCATTCACATCAGAAAATACAAACTACTCCACTTTCAGGCAATTTCTCACTAATGAGCTCATTAGAAATTGGTGGAAAGGAGAGTATGCACCCTTCACAATGATCCTGAGGGGAGGCAGGGAGTCGCAGGATAACTTCTGTGCGCCCCAGCGCTTTCAAAGCCTTTCCCGGATGGGTTTGGAAGGTGGATCCTGAACCAAGAGGGCATCAGTCAGTCTGTATGGGCTCAAGGGATTTGTTCTGGATGGCAGAAGTATGTACACATAGATACAGACACTGCAGTTTCAAGATATCCTCAAGAAACTAAAGGAATAGACTCTCACTTTGATCTTTCAGGAGGAAAAAAATAGCTTTTTAAACAATTAGAAACAAGGTATTTGTTAATCTCAACTCTACCAGGAGAACAGTAATCCACCCACAAACCCTAACTGAAGGCCACAGGCGACTCATCCCTCAGCAAATGCTAAAGCCTTATGCGTGGGACTCCTTGACAGTGAAGATAAGCCCTGAGCCTGGTGTCCAGGGCTGTAAGGAAACAGACCCCAAGTGAATTCACTGTAGTCTGCCTAACAGCAAACTCTTGAGCTCAGCAGGGCTGGCTTCCAAATCAGCAGATCAAACAAGTTATTTTCCAAACAGCTGATAAGATAATGCTTTCTGTTCGTCCAGTCTTTGGGGAGCCCCCATATATATGTGATAGTTGGTGGATAAGAGCCTAGAGAAGAGGGAGAGAGGGCCTGCTGCACAGTCCTGACCTGTGTGCATGCGGGATATCCTCTGGGGCCCCCATCTCTCTGAGAGGAATAGCCAGATGATGAAGGACTCGGGCAGTCCTGGGCATTCACAGAATTTGTGAAGTCAGGATTCTGATTTTCAGTTTTGCTTGAGATAAATATGCCACCTCTTTGGGCCTTGTCATTCCTCAACTGGTAAATACAATCTTACCTTAGATTTTTTTTTACTTTAGATTTTTAATTCTGTGAAGCTCATTATCCCCTTTTTTATTCTGAAATCTTCTGAAATCTGAAGTTTATCCCCTTCAGCTTGGCATTTTACCTCGCAGATACGTTAAGTAAGATTCATCTTTTCCTTGTCAGAGAAATGCCCCTACTTTATTGCACTGAGACACACAGTGCCTCAGAGGAATGTGTATATATGCTGTGTGCATAGCAAAACTTCTGCTGAGAAGTACTACCAAAGGCTTTTGAAAAGCCAGAAAAAACAGGTGGATGAAGAGAAGGCAGTGTGCGCAGTTTATTAAGCCCATCAAAGAGCCTTGGTTGACAAGAGAAGTGGATTTCTGTGTAATTTTTCTTTACTGTGTATATGTCCTCATACTTGGTGATTCATGCCTTTATGATGAAATTTACTATCAAAGTTCTGGTACGCAGGCAAAGCTTCTGTTTGTCGTCCCTAAGAATGCTTTTCATCTTGAGGAACTTAGTGCCTTCTAGCACTTGTAGTCGTCTCTAGCCCGAATGGGGCATCTTGGGACATAACACCTGAAGCTGTCTTTTACAGTCATTCAGAAGCAACTTACAGATACCCTTTCAGTCTTACTATTTACATGCAGGTTTTGAAGGGTGGGGGGGGGCACAAAGGGAGAGGGAGGGAGAGAATCCGAAGTAGGCTTCAGGCCCAGCATGTAGCCCATCATGGGGCTCAATCCCTTGACTGTGAGATCATGACCAGAGCTGAAATCAAGAGTCGGATGTTTAACCAACTGAGCCACCCAGGCGCCCCCACGAAGTTTTTAATAAGCTGTTAGTCCAGTGAACTCAGTCTCGAAGAATGAAGATTAGTCCAGCAAATCTTTTGGTACTCTTGTTTGCTATTTCACATAAATGACAAGAGTGTTCATTTGGCACAAAGATCAGTTCATGTTGTAGGAATTATTCATACACTCCAATGAATTATTCCTGACCTCCCCCCCCTCCCCTTCTCTCTGTATCAGGCCTCTGGGAAGAAAAGAAGGTTGAAAAGAAGAAAATAGTAGCATACCTGAGGTCTTTTGGTCACCTCTCCATCCCAAGTCTAGATTTTCTAAGAGAACTTTCTAGTTCTAGTTTCTAGTTCTAAGAGAACTTTCTCCCCACCCCTCTTACTTATGTTCCCTGTGAATACATACAGCGTCCCAGAAAGTCTGAGATTACTTAAAATTTCGAATTGGCAAGAGATAGAGATTCCTTTGTAGTCAGACCACCTCTCTGGAGCCCACTCATCTGAGGGTAAGAATGGAAGTACAGGAAGAAGTAGTTTCTCCGCCCAGCCTAGCAGCGTCCCCCTCGAGCAGAAATTGTGGGTGAGACTGAGTACGCAGTGACTCCCTCATGGTTCGGAGTGGGGGGTGATCTGTAAGGGATGCTTGGTGGGCTCTTTCCCTCCGAATGGAGACCTGTGCTGGGTAGTTTAGATCAACATCTATGGCTGCCATGGTCCTTGAATCTATGGCTGAGAAAGTTGCCCCACCAGTGTCTGAAATAGCTGACTTGCTTTCTCTCCTGTCGGCCAATACGTAATAGCATCTGGGCGGCCCCAGCCTCAGCCAGGGACTCGGTGCAGCTGCGAGCATCAGTCTTCCCTCCCTTACCCCCTGGTTCTCAGCCCTGGATCTCTCGGAACAAATGGTGAGAAAGAAACTGTTGCCAGTGCAACAAGAGCATTCTTTGGAAATACACTCAGACTGTGTTTGCTCTTAAAACTTTCATTTTGGCAGAAGTAACATTTTTGTAAAATATAATTGGATGAAAAATTACAAGATACTGTAAGCACATTCCTTAGTACTTCTTTTTTTTTTTTTAAGATTTTTTAAATTTATTTATTTGACAGAGATCACAGAGAGAGAGAGGGGAGTAAGCAGGCTCCCTGCTGAGCAGAGAGCCCGATGTGGGGCTCGATCCCAGGACCCTGGGATCATGACCTAAGCCGAAGGCAGAGGCTTAACCCACTGAGCCACCCAGGCGCCCCGATTAGTACAACTAATTTTAAAGAGTAAATAGGCCTTGGGTTTGTGTAGCCTCATTGCCTACAGAAAGTGTAACATAAATTATCCAAATCTGGGTATTTTGATTTTAGAAGTGGGTATGAAAGAATTTCCTACTTCAGTGGAACTCTCAGAATCTAGATTACTTAAAAATAATAATAAGATACAACTATTGACTGTTAAGTTAACCCAGATATGGGATTTGCCTTCAAGATCTAGGATACTGGTGGGCACCCCTCTGACATTTTCTAAATACTTAGCACAGACGCCTTTGGAGTTCAGTACTTCTCTCTCTCGCCTGAGAGGTCAGGCCTCACCTGCCTCGGCATCAGCCCTGACCTACCCTTCCGGTGGCTGTGAAGCGGCCGATAATTGACCTCACTTCTCTGAACCTCTTTTCTCACTTGTAAAATGGGCATGATGACGTATAATACAAACCTCAGGGTTGTTCTGTGGATTGAATAAGATCATATGTGAGAAGAAAGGTTTAAGCATAGTACTTGGCACACAGTAAATAGTAAGTGGCAGCTTTGTGGTTATTAAAGTTTATCTGCTTCCTTGACAGGACTTAGTATTTTTTTTTGTTTCTTAGAATTGCTGCATTTGAAGGAAGAGTGGTTTCTCTTCTAGTCTTTGGAACTGAGCTTGTTCTGCTGGGTATCGAGCATCACTGTGTTGTATAGGGCCATTCCTGGCCCCTTCATAGCCTGCTTGTGTTGGGGCTGAGTGGCTTTGAGGGGACGGTAGGTGTCCCTGGGGCATTTTTTTTAAAAAGCAGAAGATAGCAGTTGAGTTGAAAGGAAAACCAAGAACTTCCTCTCACTGCTCTTCCGCCTGACACACACAGTCTCTCATTTCTTTCCTTACTGGAGGCAGCTCCTCGCCATTGAGCCTTGACTGCAGTGGCTTTGCAGGCTCGCTCCACAGACTAAATCACAGGCTGATTGGTCTTCATGAGGTGAAGACTTGTCCAGAACTTGGCAGAGCCAGAAACACGCATCAGTCCGGAGCCCTCTGGGATTCATTACAAAAGCTGGGTAACCGGCCAGCAGGGTCGTCGCTGCCAGCTGTCTTCCTTAGGTTGTGACCTGGATGTAATCCATAATGAAACCATAGAACGCAAAGATCCAGGTTTTCCATGACAGCATCAGGCAGTTTGTTTTTAGAAATGCATGTAGGGCTTTCTCAGAAGGCCATGGAATCCCCAGTGACTCAGGTTTGGGACAGAAGCCATTAAAATGAGCTCAGGATTTGGCTGACTTGTTTTGGCTTGGACTATTCCACTGGGGTTGCCATGAGGGTTGGCCTAGCACATGAGTTGCTGGGCCTGGCTGCTGCTGTCTGTTCAGTCTTCATCCTATGCTTGTTTGCTTCTTTATGTCTGCCTGGCTCTCACGCTCTCTGCTCCCCGTAGCCCTGTCTCTATCCATTTCAGTCCAGCAGGATTGCCTCAGCAAGCTGCTCCACCAGTCTGACC